TACAGGACTATAATGGAATAATAATAATAATAATAAGTAGTGTACAGCATATGCCACCACCAAGCTGCGCACTTGTGTCAAGACCGTACCGCTGTCCTTTTCTTATCACGTCCCAACAGGCTATAATATTACACAACAGCGAAGGTTAATCCTGTAATTGCGTCTACTATATCTGCCTCACATATGCACTCGTTATACCCTGCCTTGCCTTATCACTCGCAGGGTTGAATTCTTCTTGTACTGAACCTGCTCACGCACTCTATCCACACCCGTCCACCTCGAGCTAGGCCTTAACGTCTCTCTAGAGAATTAACCCCTCCCTTTCTGCTTACGGTAGCATCGCGCCCTCCTGAATGCTGATCTTTTTGCGTTGCCTACGCTGAGAAGCCGCCCTATTTGCCTGCTCTGAGCTACTCGAGCTTCCTGTAGCGTGCGAAATTGAATCTTCAACGTAGACGCCTTTTTAGCTTGCAGTAACATCTCCAAGATGGAATTAGGTAATGAGATTTTTAATCTATATCCTCTTTAAAATCAGGGTTCTCTGAGCTGCTACCCCCCAGGCGTCACTTGGTGCGCTATGCTGCTGGATGGCATGCCTTGGTAATGGTGGTGTTGGCATATGAGCCTTCAATTTGAGCCTTAACAGCACTGCGTCCAGGTTATTTAGAACTAAGCCTCAAAGTATAAGTAGAAGATTAGAAAGCAAATAGCTATCCCTTCTACTAGAAGAGAGGTATCTAGTGCCTTCTATCAGCTAAAGCTAGGGCACTGCTATCTAAGAAGCTTCCTATTTAATCGAGGGAAAGTAGACTCTAAAGTATGCCCTTGCAACTATAGAGCTACTCAAGACGTTAGGCATATTCTACTTAGCTGCGCGCTATATAGAGAAGCTAGAGAGAAGATGCAAGAAACAAGCAAGGATCCACTATCACTAAATTTCTTACTGGAAACTAGTATAGGCATACAGGTGACTATTAGGTTCATTGAGGAGACAAAAGCTGGGACACAAGCCTGGTATAAAGGAGACACCGAAAACTAGGGCGCTACTAGTACTAGTACCCTGCTATACACCTACCTACCTTACCCCGCCTACCACCCGCAAGACCCCTTACTACCTTCCGATACACTAGGCTGAGAGCCTCACCTTCATTTAGATAACCCCCTCCCCTATCTACACTAAATTGATAGAAACACGTAGATACTTGTGGACCTTGGGTCTGCACGTCTTATATAGCCCTAGGGCTGAAAAAGGACGTTAAATCAAAATAATAATAATGATAATAGAACTAAGCCTGTTGCTCTCAAGCTAACGTGCGGGATCAGTAAGCTGGCCGCCCCACCCAACCTAACGCGACGTTCTGTGCAATTGGGCCACAATAACGCAATAAGATCATATAAAATCAAGAGGTAAAATTAATCATCTAGTTTTGTATGACGTCCGAGTGCGTTCTTGAATATAGCACTTCGTGCGACCTGCTGTATGCTGGTTGGAATGCTTTACCTACTCTGAACCTAGCTCATCTGTCGTTGGGCCGTTGTCTGAAGCGCCGATAGTCCAGTTTAGTGGAAGGTTGTGATACCAACTGCTTTAGTAGACCTTACCAGATAGGATCACAAACGGTGGCAGAGACCAGCTAGACCTGTTAATACATACAATCATCTTTGCAGGCAAGGTTCTAATCTCTGCTTGGTTTATAGAGAACCCGCCACGCAACCGAGTTACCCAAATTATCCCTAATGGCTGGGCGAACAAAAATATAGTATTTGACTAGCTCCGTCACTTTGATTGTCTTGCGCGCCTCATTGGGACCCATGGGCTGCTTGTTATCAACGGCCATGAGAGCCACTGCTCTACGAAGCTCAGAGGTTTCTTTAAGGGGAAGAGGATGATACTATCGTGTATGCCCCCACAATTGTCACACCTCTTACAATCTCTTGATGTGGGCTGCTTCCCGCTATCAAAGCCTGCGCATGGCAATGCTGTCTTAGCCTTGGTGCATAGTCCCACCTACCATACTAATAAAGAACCCTTTCTACTAGCGCTCAAAGAGGCTTGGAGTAAGACTGCTACAGTGGATAATTTCTATGTAGGTTTTCGAGGCGCTAGAAGTGTGCCGCAAAGTTCTAATACTGTTTTATTGCAGCTTGACGTATTACTATATATGCCAAATATATCAACGCCAGAGAGTGCTGCCTGTGATTCAAAGAAGCTGCACATCGCGCGCGAAATTAAGGTAGCCAATCAATCCACTAAAGCAGGGAGCAGCCGCGGGGATAGTGCAACGCCTACTACGGGGGCGCGTAGCGAGAAGCGCTGCAAGCGTTGTAGCGAAACTAGATACAACTCTCGCGCCTGTCAAGTAGAACTAGAAGGTGTAGACGATAGTGAAGAGTCTAAATAACAGCGTTTCGGTTCATCTAAGGAGGGAAGTTGCGGTAATGTTTCGTAAGCGGTGTTGCAATGTTATATTAGTGAGGAGACTACACCGCTTGCTTGTAAAATACGTTAATTTGCTTCTCTAAAGACACCTAATTAAACACCTATGTAAAGGCAGCCAAAAAACAGTTTGATTGATACAATTAGTGCAGCTATTCGCTAAGGCTCTAACTTCCTGCTTGTATACTTGCTTTAATGACGCGATAGTCTACATGAAGCAGTTGTAGCGTATGGGATGTGCGTGGAGGCACAGATAAAATAAACATTTTGCCATGTTCCCGCAAAGCTTGGAAGACGAGCGCAAGCTAATAAAAGAGACTAAGAATAGATGAAATGAGTGTGTTGTTGTGAGCTGGGTTGGCAAGAGATATATACATGAGACAAGAAGGTGGCGTAGTGGTCAGCAAGCCTCATCAACTAACAGCAAGCAACGTATGGTTTTCATGGCCATTAACAATTAGTGGCCAGTGGCAGCCTACTATTCGCCCTTTTGTATGCTAGAAAAAGTGCTGCAGTTAGGCAAGACTAAGTTAGTCTATTTTCTAGCCGCAACTGCTAGCATCAACGCGCCACTCGCGAGGGCTGTTACACTCTGTCGAGCCGTGATGCTTTGCTTTGAGAATAGGAAGCATCATCCAGCCTTTAGCGATGATGCTGGCAATCAATACTAACCATCCACACCCGCTAGATAGAAACATCTTCTTAGGCGTCCGTGTATCCATTTCCAAAGTTGCATGCCGATGGCCGGGTCGGTTGTAGCGTGAACCGGTTCTGAAACCAAGCACTCGATCTTGGTGACTAGTGCATCCAGTGGCTGCCTACGTTAAGAAAGTGTCATGTTTCTTTTGTCTGTTGATGATTTCTTCCATGCTCAGCCTAGCACGACCCAAGTGTAATGTTCCCAACTGTGTTGATCTGATCAAAGTGCGGACTATATCTTGCAGCCTCGAGTAACATTAATGCGCAATGACGAGTGTGGTGAAACGAACTGCTTAGATGGTCGAGGGGCTCATTGTTTTCCTCTGCTGCAGCCTTTCGTATGATGATGAATGCGCAGTGTGCAAGGTGTTCGCCTGCTGTAGACCAGTAAATATTCGTACCTAGTCGGCTTCCCAAATCGAGGATCTTGGACGTCTTGTGCCTGTCGGTATAATAATAGAAGGAATTTCCATTGTTTGCAGTTGCAAAATCAGCAGCACCCTCGCGCGAGCATGGCTTGGGAAGCCATGTCAGCGTCAGTGGGTCGTAGCTGCAACCTTTCGCGATGGCATCCTCGATTGAGTTGCCACAGTTGTATTTTTGAGTTGGCCAAAATTTCCATATGAGCAACGGGACGGTGAGAACATAGTAAAAGCCAACAAATATGACAATCAGCACGTTTCTTCTTGAAATCGTTGCTTTTAATAGGTCTTGGCTCGGGGCGTGGATGTAGGTACTGTGATCCTGCCCCGGCAATGCTTTTAAGTTGATATATCGAAAGAAGCTCCCACTTCGTTTATCGTAAAACCGGCCATCATGTGCTGATCCCTGAGCCATGGGCTTAACGACTAGAACTAAACCTCGAGAAATGAGGCTCGCGTGCTGGCAACTATGGATGGAAGTTGATTTCCAAAAGATCTGTGTACCTGTATTAGTCAGCCAATGGGAGATGTCCAAGCAAAAGAAACTTACTGTTTCGTTACACAGTCTTAACCGATACCAGATATGCAAACACAAACCAAGACAATGGCGATGTAGCTGAAAAGTTGCCCCGGCTAATGATATGTCTTACCTGAAAGATATCTGAGACACACTAACATAGAATGATGTATCTCTATATATTATAGCTAAGTTTATTCGACAGGATGCTCGGCTGTGATGCGATTTTAGTTTAGGGATTGTGAAGAATAAGATCCGGCAAAGTTGTGTCTGATTTAGGTTCTCTCCGCGCAGCTAGGAATCGTGCCGGGTAAACTAAAGCTTTGGACAACGGTAAGTCTTCAAGGTCCGATGTTCTGGTTCCGAACCGGCTATGCTATCCGTGCGCCGAGTTACTCTTGTAGCCTGTTCAAGTAGAAACCCAAAGTGGTTCACAGATTATAACAACATTGAATTCTTTTTATATCTCTTTGCATCTAGTTATTCCCAAAACTCAACCGCAAGAGAAGATGTCAAGTGCTGATGAATATCACGAAGAAAAAAACCTTCTCACTGAAGACGATGATTCAACAGATGAGAGCTATCAAGGCGAGCTCCACGGCCCAGATTTCCAATGCCATCGATGCTCGTATAACAGAATGGTCCCTCTCTGGACGCTTCTTGTCTCGTTTCTTGTCACGTTAGCCGCCATTGTGACAACTATGGCAGCACTCCGGTATGGCACCCGGCCTTCTCTTGAGAAGGCTTCCTTCGATTTTTCTGGCTACGCTTGCGCTCCACTCGAGGCCGATCCGGCCGATGCCAGGGCCCGCGGCTGCGAATATGATAACTTCACGATGCAGTGGTATCCTCGCGAGCGATACGAACGCTCCGAGACTCTTGAGCTGATGAATAAGTTCATGGATATGGGCTGGCCACGCCACTTTGACGCGGGGCAGAAGCACGCAATCACAGACTTGGAAAGAGCCCCGATGTTTATCTACATCCTGTCGAAAGAGCATATATGGCACTGTGGCTATTCTCTACTGCAGACACACCTGTGGTGGACAATGGGGTTTGATCCGCCTATGGCCTATGGACATACAGAGCACTGTGTTTTCACAATGCTCGACTTAATCGAACGGTACCCTCCCCCTGATCTGTACGATGTCAAACGAAATGGACGGTCTTCACTGGTCCCTAGCGAATTTCAAATTGTATGTTTTTAGCGACGTGCATTGCACAGTGTTCCCGCTTCAGCCTCTGTCATGACTAACAACTAATTACTGTTAGGTCAAACCGTACTTCCCCTGCGCGGAGCATGGCTTTGCATGTACTTCCGAAGACCATCCGTATCGCCATTCATAGAATACCGTAACGAAAGGAATAAGCTACTCTACACTACGATACAACGCATGCGCAGTTAGCCGAGGGAGAACATATATATTTAAGGGAGGGGAAAGGGGGAGGGAGGGGGGAAATGTGTCTCTAGCGCATACTTACATATGGATATATAATCGTAGTACTTATCCATTAGCCTTCACAGACTAGCATCATGGCAGTATCTTTGCTTTTGGTATATAAAACCTATCATCACCCACCCCAGACCCTATTCCACAGGGGATATACAAATGCAGAGCCATAGTTAGTCTACATAGAATAAATAAGCCCTTGTTGTTCTTCCCAATACGCTTACTTCACGTCTAGTTATGTAAACGCAGTGCTCAGGAAGCTTTCTACACTACCGTAGTAACTACTTATAAATATTTTCTTCTAATTGAGAAAATCACATTGACTAATGAGAGTATGGAAGACTTTCGATGTCGTAGCCCTTGCTATAATGCGAAAACCAGCAAGGCCGTCACGACTGAGAACAGTTCCTCGCTGACTAGCACTCTGATGGACTCGTTATCCGCTATTTGGAAGGTAAATCTATGTTGCCACTCATTCTTTTATATTAAACACCCCGGTAAAGATAAAGCTTAAATAGAGAAAGTACACAGAACACTCGGACGAAAGGAATATCTTTGTATAAACCATAAAAGCCACTAAAGCAATAGATAGCTGAATGACACAATACAACCTGCGCAAAGTCAGTGTCTGCAGCATGTAAGGCTAGCAAAGCTTGTCAATCGTGATAGACATCAAGACATACCTTAATAGACTAATTTGATCAATCGTTTACCTAACAGCGGTTCTTATGATGCTTTTAATGCACAGCAACCTAGCAAAGTGGTGGTAAATATTTTTATGCGGCGTCGAATTCCTTTTTTAGCGGTTGAGTGGGATGAGATAAAAGACCTCGTCTCAATACATAACCCTGCGATTAGGTACCTTATATTTCCATTTTGTAACAGGGGTACGAGGGTTGCAGATGGAGGCTTTAGGCCATGTGCCTCGTAGCCGAGAGAGATCCTTCAGGATGCTTTATGATCTACATCTCAACCAACCTCTGGATATCGCTAGATCACTATGCTATGTTCACAGCATGTGCTTAATGGATTAGATGCAGTGTGCAATCCTAAGAGTTATAATGAAATTGTGGGTATATATTCATCTCTATGGTGTGACTGAGAGACTAAATCTATGATGTAGCAGATGATAGACCCCCTTTTTTATATCATGTGATATATTCTATAAGTATTCGCGAGTATACGGGTAAAGTACTCATGGGCTAATTTATCTTTGCATACGTATATATGTTCATTGCTGGCTAGGCTTGCACAACAACGCAGAATGATCTTTAGCCATCTAATATGTAAACTAATAACAATCCGTATGTGAACGTCACTCCTAGCTATAGTAGGTTTTGTGGTCCATGTCTCTATTCTCTCTATACGTTAAGGGGAATGAAGAAAGGTAGCAAGCGTGCGAATTCTATCCTGCAGCTACATAGAAGCAGTAGGTTCCACAAGCATTCTCATCTCCTGATGTAGAACTCCAGGGATCTGCAAAGAAGAAGGAGATAGTTGTTGATAGGAAAGAAGCGAGCTCTCTTCTGTTCGCTCCCATGCATGTATCTCGAAGGGCGCCTAGCTTAGAGATATGGTGTTTGCTGGACTGCGGCAGTACGCACCAAATACAGGGCCTGAAAAGCGCATTGTGCAAAGGAAAGAGCTTCAAAAGTGGTTAGCCAATCAACGCCAGCAAATTACTGTTGTAATTGCCCTCCGGCCGTGCCGGTCGGATACCGGAAAGTAACCAGGGTGCTGAATCACGAGACACGGTCTTCGGTTATGGGCGTGGACCTTTCTTTTTCTTTCTTTTTTCCGTATAAGCGATCAACTGCTTTTGTAGCATGCATATTTGCTTCGAGAATACACTCTAATTTAATACGGAGCTAGTCCTCGCCTACAAACCCGCCTACCTTTGAGAGCCACCTACGAGTCGAGTCATATCTTCGCCACTATATCGCCTTGGACAGCGACGCCGTTGATGCAAATTCTTGGAAAAACACCAGCAAATCACCCAATATGTCTGTCATCTTCCTAGAAACTAGGCAAGACTTCGATAGTCTGCTGCAGAATAACCGATACGTAGCCGTTGTCTTCAGTGCCGTTTGGTGCGGCCCTTGCAAAGCCGTGTCGCCAATTTTCGAGGCTCACGCAAAAGAGAAGTCTCCGCAGATCTCCTTTGCTAAGATCGACGTCGACATAGTGCCGGAAGTTGCAGCGCAGTACAAGGTTGCTTCTATTCCAACATTCTTATTAATCAAAGACGGACAAGTAGTCGACAGAGTACCTAATAGTGCGCTAAAGGCACTCAAGGTAGCGATCGAAAGATTTGTGGATTTAATTGGGGTACAGGAGCTGGAACACAAATAGGCTAAATGTTCTGTTCCGTGGCGTAGGGGCATAGCCATGTTTTTTTTCGCTAGTGCTGCGCCTGCCTACATATTTCAGTGTATGTAGCTGACCTTCACATGACCTAATAACTAACCTTCCTCCCCAGGCGGCGAACAACCGAGCTATCCTGCTTCTTCTCCACAACCTTGTTGAGATCTAAGTGCATACCAGCTTAGGAACTCTCACTAGTACACAACTATATGCCCACCACCTCTTATGCTCATAAAGCTTCAAAAACATGACATGTGAAGTCTTGCGGACTCAAAACACGGCATGACATGGTACAATATAACAACGAGGAAGTTTTAAGGCTTTGAAGGATTGTAAACATAGGCTTATATTACATAGCTAAAATTTAGTTATGGCTGACCAACCATCGAACTCAACGCACGAACTTGCACATGCACATTGCAATATACTAATATACGAAGCTCAACACCATTTCTAGGTTTGCTTGTAGACATCTCGCTTCCCGTTCACTTACAAAGGATTAGGTATGCTTGTGTCTAGAGCTCTGACCATAGCCAGTCATATCGTTCAAACGATGGCTAAAGCTCCAACTCATAATCTCATCGAAGTTTTTGCAAACGTGGTATGATCCGAAACCGCTAGTTGAAGGAAGTTCACTCTTGGATGACTGCCCTTCAAAAGCCGTGTCTCCACAGCACACTAGTGATTCTTTTAGGTAAGCGAGACAGTGCTCTATATGCTCCTGTCGATCTTGATGAATCTTTGTTCCTCTCGCCGCTCCGGCATGAATAGTAGCTATCATGTCATTGAACTCTTCAGCTAGGGCATGTAGACAGTGTAGCTGGTGGAAAACAGCAACGTTGTATACGGTCTGTCCTTCTGATTGTATAGGAGGCGGCAAATGCAGGGCCTCTTGGTCGCCACCAGTAGCCACCACAAAGCCACCGCCTTCTGTTCACCAAAAAAGTTAGTTGTCTGTTCTGATAAAGAGGCTTAGATTGTGTACATACGAGGCATGACTGCTTTCCATTCTAAATCAGAGGTATTCAGGGGGTTGAACTGTGGATTTTCTTGAAAACGTATCACCCTCGTACCCACTGCCAAAATTCAGTAGCTGCAGAAAGACCATTTGATATTTTATCATGGATTAATCTCGATTGAACCTACCTGCGGGGAAAAGCCCATTTAGCTCCCCTAGCAGTTCTACTGGTCGGTCCTTTGTACTGATCTTCCATATCAAGAGGCTCTGCAGTGTTGCAGCAACAGCGAAAAAGAAGCCTATCATCCAAAATATTGAAAAGAAGATTCTTTGTGGATTGCGATGTGACTGAAAATCCCACCATGGTGTACTAGCTCGCCTGGAGATTCTTGCGTATGGTTGATCCATGTTAGGGTTATCCGTTGCCGCGTAGCTATAAACCAAAATAGACTTCTAGCGGAGACTACTATATAGAAATTTGGTTTTAGAATAGCATTTCTATCTTTTCAGTGGTAGAAAGAGAGTCGCGTGTTTCAGTACTACATTGTCGGACAATACTAGAAGGAAGAGCGAGTCACCGCTGGTTCGTGACTATCCGAGCGTACCGAGTCCGGGACAATAACTCCTGGCGGATGGCATTACGGAAAATACATAAGAGCGTTTTCCGGTTCTTTTTGTTTAGGTTCCATGCCAGTTTCGGCTAGGCAAGAGGCCTAGGAGAGTGAGGACCGATGTTTGTGTACTCTTAGGCACTGCTCCGTCTAACCGGCAGTCTAAACCGGATGGCCTCGACGTAGCCTGGAGAGAATAGATATCCTGATTGGCAAACTACCGAAATAGCATATCGATGATTTTTCTACGCAGTGGTATCTATATATAAGGGCCTTCCCAACCATCTTGGTAAACATTAATCACTCCATACGCTCTGATAATATCTTCCTGCCTAAGTCTAAGTAGTAGAGGTTTAAAAAAGGGTTTTTTCGTTTTAACAAACTACCGAAAATGATTTACTCTAAGATCGTCGTACTTGTTTCAGTGCTAGGAGTTGTTGCAGCTCTACCAAACCCTAGTATTAACAGGTAAGCATAAACATCACCAGGTGACAGGATGGAGGTTAAAACACTCGCATTTAGAAATGAAGTGTCTTTGGATAGTCTTGCCAAGCGCAAGTACTTGGTCAGCTATCCTGAGGGCGACGACAAGGAGGGCGAGCCAGGCCTCACCAAGCGCAAGTACTTGGTCAGCTATCCTGAG